TGAGTTCGTGATCACTAATTTAGCTCTCCAGCTTTTTTTTAACATATATATTTGTAAGATATTCTAGCACAGCAGTACGTAGCATAATTTATTTGCCAAAGGCACTAAAAATACCAACTTATTATAGAGGGAGGTTCACATTCATATCGCAACAAAAATGTCCAGACAAGAAAAGGTTCTATTAATGGCGTCATGCCCCACCACAGCTCATGGCCACCAGAAAAAAGTTGAGCACATGGTTATATATTATTTTGTTAGTAAGGGAGGAAACCTTTTGCACAACTATATGGTGCTTAAAAAAAGTGGAAGTACATGCCTATCAGCCTAGGTGTCATTTTATTAAAATGTCTCATTCTTTCACGTGAACAGTTTGGTCGTATAGCGAGAGTTTCCGGGTTAATTATATACTAGTCGAGTTTTGCCCACTTTTATGGTATCTGTAATCTTTAAGTTATTTTTTATTAAAATCCTATAATTTTTTCTCCGTTGAGTTATTCTTTTTATTATTCATTTTATTTTGTTATCATACTTTTGTTATAATTAATGCTATTAGTTTGTGATACATTAAAGTTTTGAATACATAATATGTGTCATAAGTAAAATTCTAATATAAGAACTTAATCAAAATAATTAAAAAAAATACGAGACTTAAATAAAAAATAATTCAAAAAATACATAGACTAAATTATTATTTTTAATTTTTAAGTTTTTTCTAAGACTTCATCTTAAATGCTGCAAAATATATCGTATACGAGACCTCGTTATAATAATAATAAAATTGTAAAGAGTTTTTTTTTTTACAAAAAAGTTATTATAATAATTTAAAAATAATAAAAAAATATGCAAAACAAAGCTAATATGCAACTGAAAAAAATTAGAGTACAAATATGTTTATCAAAATTAAAATGAACACAACAATAATACTAACTAATAGCTAATTATCTCTCTCTCATATATATATGGTGCAGTTTCTAATTTTTCAAGAAAATAATTTTGTTTTTCACTTTAAATTTGTCAAATATTTAAAAAATTTTATTTTTTATTAAGAATAAGACCTATTAACTAGGAATCTATAACTAATTGATATTTCATATCATCGTATTTTTGTTTTAATAATTACATATTAGATATGTTATTTTCTTCTCTTTTTTTACATATTTTTTAATTTTTAAATTATATATATATCACTTCTCAGTTTGTCTCACATATGAATTATAATACATTTGTACAAGATGATATTTTAAAAAAATAATAACAAAAAAAAATTTGATCTTTATTATATTTGAATTGAGTTTTCCTATTGAAATTTCAAATATGATACAGTGCTATAGATTCAAAAATATAATTTATCACTTTAGTTTATAAAATAACAATATTATAATAAAAGAATGATGATAAAACAAAAAAATTCAATCAATATAAAAAACAATACAGAATTTCAATATATATATATATATATATATATATATATATATATATATATATATATATATATATATATACGCCCGCGTCGACAAAACCTTTGCCGGTCAAATGGCTAGGCTGAGCGGGCAGGTATCATTGATAACTTCTTAACATAAGCTAATCATTGGAATGTTAATTTCCAAACTCAATTATTGTTTCAACCAATGACAACAGACACATACCTAACCCATTAATTCAATTTTTTATTTTATCTATGAAAAAATATTTTACTTATTTATTATTAAAAAATTATTATAAAATTTTTTATTCAATTCATACTCGATCTATATTAATTTACCTATCTATTTATTATATATTTAACATCGATTAAAAATAATTTATTAAAACTATTCATTTTGGTTCTTATAATTTTTAAGAATTTTTTTAATCGATCAAATTCTTTTTGCATTTTGACCCTTTATTTATAATTTTTTTTATCCTCAAAGCTTTTGGAAAAAAATATATATATATATATATATATATATATATATATATATATATATATATATATATATATATATATATATATATATATATATATATATATATTGATCCTTATTTTTTAAAGCTTATACAATTAGATTTTTAAATGTTAATAAAAAATCAAAATAAATTAGTTGGTATTAATAAGGTAAAGAGTGAATAATTATATTAATGAATTTGTATTTTTTTATTTTTATTCACTTCAATACTCATTAAAAAATTTTACCGAGTATTTATAAATTTCGATAAAACGAATATCTACTTTATATTCGATCTATTGTTATTTCTATTTGTCTCTTTGCATATGCTGGTTTGGATATTTGTGGGCAATTACAATGATATTATTATCAGACTTACTATGAAGAATTATCTGAAAATATTTCACTAACTGTGAAATTAAAATTGAAAGTATAAGTCATATAAAACTTGAAAAAACAGAAGAAAAAAATGATAAATTTCTTTTTCTCGACATTAATATGATGCAATTTTCAACTTAATATGCAGAAAAACAAAAAGAAAAAAGAATTAATCAAATTCATGTTGAAACAACCAAACTTTGTAGAATCCGATTCATAGAATTGTGAAGCATAATATCGTAATAAGATGGACCAGTTTTAACAAACAAAAAGCAGGTAAATAATATAAAGTCAAAGTATTACTAATTAATCGCACTGTATAATCCAAATTCTCCACCAAATATATTTTTAATCCTTAGAGATTTAATATAAAATTATCAATAAGATCTCATTTAACGGTTTATATTTTTAAATTAATATATTATTAAAATTTTAATAATCAAATAATGATAATTTAAATTTCACTATTCTCATTTTTTTTTATTCAAAATTATGACTCTGTGTAACAAGTTTTAAATTTAAATGATTTTTACTTGAAAAATTGTATTAAAAAATTAATAAAACCTCATTTATAACTTAATGAATTGACGCGGGTTTTTTCACATTAACATTTAATTCTTTTAAACTTCTCTAAGACAAAAGCCTTTCATAAACTAGCAGAAAGATTAGAGGCTGTCTTAGATTGCCTGTAAAGTGGAGGTTACCGTGATATTTGAGACCTTAAAATAAGGCAATATTTCTTGCTTTTGATCTTTCTTGTCTCCTATTATTTGCGCCTCGCTTGCCTTTGTATGTATGTTGTCTCTCTCTTTCTTCTTCGTGCCCCAGGGCCATTCCTTTAGAGGTTGATTAAGTTCCCTCCTAACTGTCGTAAATCTGTTAAAAAAAACTCGGAAAATGTCCATACAAAATGGTCTTGATTATAGACGAGAAACTATTCAAATAGCAAGTCTTCTTTATCTTTCTTTGTTTACGACCATGTTTTCTCATGTTGATAGAGAGAGTGACGTTGTTTTTCATGTTTTGGGTCAGTTAGTTGGTCCTAGCATTTCTGAAAGATTAATCAGGATTGAAGATTCTCCTGGAATTTAAAGACAGAAAAACCCACATAATTACTTTATTGCTTTTTAAGGATTCCCAATTTAATTAAATATCGAGAGATTTAATCGCTTTATACTTGTGACATTTTTTTAAGCGTGGTTATCTTACTTTTAATTATTTTTGTCCACCCTTTACCCTTGATTTGTTAAAAATGTGGTCACTTCATCAGTGCTACACAATTTGTTGAACGAATTATTAACCCAAAAAAATAGTAGAAAAACGTATTAAACATACAGTACATGAATATGAATACACGGATGCATTAACTCGAATGACATATAGTGGAAAGAGGAAAAAGTATCATAGGCAGAATTACCCATTTTCTTTTTTAATATACACGGTTCGCATTCTATTTCATTTCTTTATTAAGTTTTGGTTTAATTGTAAAAAATACTCTTAATTATTGAGTTATAGCAATTCAAAGTATTTATTATCAATTTTGGTTATTTTGATTTCAAATCATTATTTTCTGAACAAATGTTATCCTTTTTCCGTTATACTTGATTGTAAAACATTAATCTTTAATTTGAATGTTTAAATGTCGTCTTTTAAGTATTTCATTTTTTTAATAACAAAAATTACCTCCAAGGTGTTGGAGTTATGGTAATTTAAGGTATTTACTACCAATTTGAGTTTTTTTTTTTGAAACCTTAGCTTTTGTTTTCTAAGCAAATAGTTTCTTTCATCCACTTTTTTTTATGATCAAAAGGTTTATCATTAATTTAAATGCTTAAACGACATCCTTTAAGCATTTTATTTTTATTGAAAAAATATTTTTTATAAAATATAATAATAATTAATACAGATGGCATGTCATTCTTATGCTATATTAAATCAACAGAATTAATTAAATTGAAGAGAGAGAGTCTACCATAGTTAAGTATTTTTGGGATTACTTATTGAACTTATGCTTTTCTATAACAATATTTGAAGCTTGATTCATGTCTCATTTACTCCTTTGTTATTGGTTGCAAAGTATTGATTCGATTGATTGCAATCTCTCTTTCCCTCTCTCTGTTCAATTCAATTAATTCAGTTGATTTAACGAGTATCTTGAGATGATATATTGTGATATATTAGGATGGCATATTAGCCATTACTCGTTTTATAAATTAATTTTCTTTTGCAAGAAAAAAATATTTAAATAACGTCGTTTAAGCATTCAAGTTAAAAGTCAATGCAATAATCCAAATTGATAGTAAAATCTTTAAATTTTCATAATTCTAATAGTTTAAAGGTAATTTTTATCATTAAAAACCAAAAATGTTTAAATGATGTTTTTAAAACATTCAAGTTAACAGCTAACATTTTAATACTAACAAATCAAAGAAGAAAATAATATTTGTCTAAAAAATAATAATTTGTGGTTCAAATAATTCAAATTTGATAGTAAAAATTTTAAATTGCCACAATTGTAATAATTTGGATGTAATTTCGGCCATTAAACCTCTTTAAGTCTAAAAAAAAACCTACATGCAATGACTTGCTAAGGGCCAAATCTTGATCCACATGAACTACTACTTTGACGTGGCCCATCTTTCTGTTTTTTGGACCCTGATTAAGCCTGCTGCATGAAGTATAAACATGGACCAAAAAATGATGATCCTTACTATTCTATTTGTACACCCAACAGCCTATGGTATGCCAAGTGAAGTTAGTTTGTGATTCGTTTTTAAGGAGAAGTATGCTTGATATGCATGATATGTGGATGGCAACGCATTGACAATCTTATCCTCTCTTTCCCTCTTCCACTTTGAAAATCTAATGTACCGAACAAAAACAAAACCAAAACCAGCTAAACCTCTCTCTCTTCCAGTTTCAGCAGTTCCTGCCTCTGCCTGACGTTCTTAAAACTAAGACCTAAATGGAACTGATCTCTCTCTTCCCTACCTATCATCAGAACCCCACGACCTTTCTCCTCCACAAGCCTTCCATTTCCATTCCCATCACAAGTGATCTTTTCCTCTCTCTCTATCATTTTATACATCACCTTTTCAATATATGTTGGTTTGTACTTGCTAATAACAATAAAAAATGGTCACAAAGTTTGTTTGAATTGGCAGAGAGGAGAGTGTCAAACAGAAATTCAAGCGCGTTGAAATGCCGCTCCTCACTGTCTTTCTCTGATGATGACACTACAAAACCAACCTCGCTATCTTTGCCCCAAGAGGGAAGGAGGGCACTCGTTGCTTCTCTCCTTTCTGCTGGTTAGTTCCATTCCATCCATTATATTTTCATACGATGGATCTTTAATTGGTGTTGAGGTTTGAAGCTCCATTACGTCTTCTGTTATTAACTGTGACTCAGCTGTCGGAATTTATGTCTGTGATGTGGCCGAGGCTGTTAGCACGAGTAGAAGAGCTGTAAGTTTCTTTTCTCTTTTTCCTATTTGGATATTTTCTGTCTTGAAGTGATGTATATCTTACTTTCAATTGAGCAAATCTTTTCGTTCTGTGCAGCTTAGAGCATCAAAAATACCGGAGAGTGACTTCAAAAGCCTCTCCAATGGTCTGAAGTTAGTACATCAAATTTTAATTAATGTGTATTCTGCGCTCCAGTTCTTACCTTTTCATTTATCTAAAAATTGAATATTACCTTTGTTTGCTTATTTCAAATAGTTGGATTGCTACTTATAAGTAAATTCACCGGAATGCTAGTGCCTATCATGTGATACCCTTATCCAAATCTTCATTAACCTCCTTCTCTGTAAGGATAGAGCTACATTGTTAGATTGTGCTATAATTCTTTATTTTTTTTTAATCTCACAACCTGCCGTTTTGCGTCATGCCAAGCATATTTGTCTATATTTGGAACAGAAATTATGCAAATTCTGATCGAGATGTTCTTCAGGTACTATGACTTTAAGGTCGGAGGTGGACCTAAGGCCGTGAAGGGATCCCGGGTTGCAGTACGGTTGTGGCCCAGTTAAATTTCAATTTTTGACTAAATGATGTTTAAACTATACCTTATTATATTACATTGATACATCAAATGTTAGCATCAGCTGTTATAGCTTAATTTCATGTGCTGGTCATGTACTTGTAGGCCGTCATATTATGTGTCTGTGTTTACAACTCATTGATGCAGTGTTACCCAGTTCAGATCCGATGTTTTGCCCTACATCCACATCTACGTTTCCAAGTTTTGTATTTGAGATTATTGAACTTATACACCTTGAATTACCTTGCAAATCCATATATATGTGTATATGTTCTGATGATGAACAACCTCATTTCAGAAGAAAGAATGTTGTTCTGTAGCTTCAATAGTGCAGCATTATTTTTACCATTATTTTTCTGATTTCTAACCGATGGATACAAATTTAATGCATGCCTTATTTTAATTCAATAACCTGCTCTTTAGTTTCCCGGAATTTTAAAATGACCTGGGACCATTTAGATTGGAACATTTATAAGCAGGGAGATAATTCTAAACTTCAATTTCTTTGAAATATTATCCCATCCATGATAAGTGACAAGTTGTTCAAAGGTGTGAATTCCATGTTTCCGAGATGAATGTCAGATTTCACAATCTCAGAGTTTCACTAACCTTGTCACTGCAAATGGTCGATGATGTGGATTGCTTATTTGCTTTATTATTATGAAAAACGATATTGTGTAAGTTTGAGTAGAATAATTTGTATGGATGAATGAAAAAGTTATGTATCTTCATTCCTCTTTAAATTTAAATTCCAAAGCCATTATGTTTTTGTTGTTTATCTGTTATCTTGCAATACATATAGAATATAGTTGATGTAGTTGTGTTTATTTTAGGTTCACTATGTTGCCAAGTGGAAGGGAATCACGTTTATGACTAGTAGGCAAGGACTTGGTGTTGGAGGTGGAACGGTAAGATTAGAGTAGTGCACTTCTTCAGATATGCATCACTCATACATCACTTTATGAGGAGGGTTTTTTTTATTCACAGTATTATGTATGTGCATGTGTGCTAAGTTGTTTTTCAAACATGTATTTAGTTATGCATGCATGAAAGGGGTGTATCAACAATATGTCTGCAATTTCTTTTCCTTTTGGCTAATTATATATTCCTTGAATTATTGCAGCCTTATGGATTTGATGTGGGTCAATCTGAGAGGGGAGCAGTCCTTAAAGGATTAGATCTTGGGGTTGAAGGCATGCGTGTAGGAGGCCAGGTGACTCCTGTTTCTGGCATATTGTAGCTGTGTTCTATTGACGGACTATATTATAGAGTATGCAGTAGCTTACAAATATTCATAGTTAAGCATCGGCTAGGATTTGTGAGGTCTCTAGTGCAAATGCTACGAATTGAAATGTAAATTCCATATGTTAAAAAAAGATTCCAATGCAAACAACAAAGTGGGGGCCTGTATAATGGTTTGAGATGGAAATCAATGCAATTTCCTTCATGTTCTTGATTACGAAGAAGCTGAATTTAAAAATTGCATGCGGATTGCCTTATCATTGATCTCAGCTCTTTACCATGTATAATGCTATAGTTATCAAACTTAAAGTTGAACTAGCATCGTATAGTTAAGTTTGCTGAATGTAACTGAAGATTTTTATCATGTGCTGAATAACTATTTCTTTTTGGCAGCGTCTGCTAATAGTTCCTCCTGAGCTGGCATATGGTAGTAAGGGAGTGCAGGAAATTCCTCCAAATGCAACCATAGAGGTATGAAGTTGTTATCTCAGTTAGTTGGTAAAGGGTAGGGATATGTTCATTTGAGTATCATCTGGAAATTTTATGGTCTTTAGTTTTTCATGTATTTGAAACAAAGCTTATAAATCCATAATGGGATATTAATGAAACAGGGGAGCAGTTTTAACTAGTCATAAGAATATGATGTTTGATTAGTTATATGATCCATGAGATACTGTTACAAAATTCCTCAAGTATCATATTTCTAGCAGTTTTTGCACGGTATACACCTACTTCAGTCATGTCATGCATGTTTGCTGGAGCAAACTATAGAAAAGAAAAAAGAATCCTGATTACTCATGTTCCTTCCTTGGTCTGTAACAAATATGATAGGAGGCAAAATTCTTAATCTTTGGCCATCTGTTTTTCTACTTCCAGTTTGTGAGAATTGCTTCGATTGGACCATTGTGCATCCAACCCAAATTTAATAGCTTGGTCAGTGATTCTTTTATAGACACTATGATGTGGAGTTTAAACTACAAGAAGTTTTACCTGCTTTGTTGTTGTTTTAAATGAACACCCAAGACCAAAGCTTGATTGTTTGTCTGCCTTTCCTTCTTGTATATATACATGAAAGTCTTAGTTTTGAAATCCAGTTCCCCCCGTATCCTAGTTTCTTGAAAATCAGTGGTTCTCTATACATGATATAGAGATGGATGTGATTATTTGTACCTTTGCATGAGTTTTGAGGTTTGTTAAACCATGATTTCTGCTGAGAATGGCATAACTAAACCTATATCTTTCACCATTTACTTTCACTTGCTTGAGTAATTTAAGATTGTTAAATTCTAAATAACCCTTTTAGTGGGTTAAAGCCAGTTCATTAGATGGGCTGTATCTCCATCTCCTCTGTTTTGTTCCCGCCCACCCCCACCCCCTCTCTCCCTGGCGGTTTCAGTGTATAGCTGCACTCCATATTGACCAACGTAATAAAAATGGCTAGATTTATTCTTTCATCTGAAATTGGAACATTGTCGGTGCAACAACTTGATTTCTATGGTAGAGGCTTGTGCATTTTAGAGATGGAGTTTCCCATTTCTGAAATTGCGCAAGGTGAAAAATCAAATGAAAGGCTCTATCTATTCCAGATGATTTGCCTTTAAGTTCTTGGTCTTATTCTATATCTTTCTACATAGGCACAATTTCTATAATTGATCTGTGCTTTTGTATTTAATATATAGATATGGAATTTAATATGCCATCTCTGTGGATTCTGCAGCTGGATGTTGAACTGCTGGCCATCAAGCAAAGCCCATTCGGGTAAGTGATGGGATCCCCCTAGTGCACTGTGATGTTGATATTTCTTTGGTAGTTAGGCTTACTTATCGCAATGGCATGCAGGTCTTCCGTAAAAGTTATTGAAGGTTAATGCATATATTGCTTGTCATGCTGGTTGTTAATTTGGATGAACTGAGCATCAGTCAGTAATCTATAGCAAAAGTAGAGAGCCATTGGATTGCTTCTGTACTTTGCCTCAAAGAGATATGAATGTGCACACATAAATTGGTGAACTGTTATCGGCATAGTCATAAATGTGTTGATAACTTATATAAATTCTTCCCTCCTTCCAATCTTCTCGTTGTGTTCTGTTTTGATTGTTTTATTCTCCCAGCAAGTCTTCTGTGCTACTGGATATGAACATGTTGGACTGCTTACAATTTTTTTTATGTCAAGGCAATGTTTATATTCCTGCACCTGCAACGTTCACAACCATACAGAACCAGAATCTGCTTTTTCTTTGAAGTTGAATAAATTGGTGTCGAATTTTAAACTGATTGAGCAACTCTTCGTTTGTGCTGACTTTTGAATGACAGGTTTGATTTAGTTGCATAAACGAGCGACTATTGTTTGTGCTTAGAAAATAAAATCTCAAGTGCCAGGAATTGTTTCAGTTTCAATTTATGATGGCAAGTTGTTTCAATGAACCAACAAGTCATTGCCTCTGTCATTTCTTCTTCTGTCCTGAAAATGGACCGTGGCAACCCAGATTGCTTTAGCTAGCTTTCTTTTTGGATTTTTATCTTCCATACGAATTGAAGTACGGACTTTGCTGAATTCATGTACTCAAATTGAACTGACTGTAGATGTTACTGTCAAATTGGTAGGCTGGAAATCGTTTAAGCTTTGCCTACTTGTTTGCACTTCCGTCGGACTAATTACATATCTATCCAGTTACAAATTAAGTTACTTGCACACATGCAAGAAGAACAGGCTAGCCGTGTACAAGTGGAACTCTCTTTGAGTTTGATTGAAACAAAATATTGTGAAGGTGGCTTGTATGATCATGACACTTTTTTGTTTTATTGTAGATGAAAATGGAGTTCTTTAACTTTTTAAGGTTTATAAAAATACAGTGTCATAGAAACATTTTTTTTAGCTATATTTTTCTGAATACTCTATGTTAGAAAAACTATTTTATATTGAATAAATAAATAAAATATGAATAATATATAAAATAAAAAATAACCATTTATTATAAAATTGAAGTCTTTTATATAAAAAGCAAACTCAATTATCAAATTTTATATTGTATCAAAAAAGGGTCTAATATATTCGCGTTTGCTAAATTACCATGACCAAGCCCACCTGCAAAAAAGGGTCTCACAAACCAACTTAACATGAGATGTTGCACTGACCAAGATTGTGAAGGCCGGCATGAAGATAATTATAGACGCCGAATTTGGGCCGCAAAGATGGGCACAACAAAGAAGCAGAGAACTGAACGGCAAAAACTAAAAACAGTTTAATTAAGGACAAACCCCTTACTTCTACTGAAATTAAGTACTCATGATGGATAGCTAAAGAGTTTGTTCACCGAAAATGGCTGTGGAATATATATATATATATATAGATAGAGAGAGAGAGAGCGATTAAAGGATTGAGCCTGAGGTGGGAGTCATCATACAATCCTAATCTCCAGGCCATGCAGCAGGAAATGAAAAAATAGTTAGGGATGGAGATTGCTTGCAATCCCACCAAAAATCTTTCTTATATGAGGTTTTGGTGGCATTGGAGGGAGTCATTCTGCCTCCCAGAACCAACAGTATTGGTTGGACATCGGAATAGAAGCGCCGAGGTTATCATCACAGTTATATAATACAGCCATTTTGATTGTCAGATGCCTTCAAATTGATTGGGATGGAGTCGGCAGGTGATTTTAACAAAAATAAAATCTAAACTTAAAAATCAAATTATATCTTATTCATGAATCATAAAATTATAAATTAAAATTTAAACTAAAACTATAAAAATTCTCTCTGAATCATAAGATTAAAACCTATACATTGCATTAAAAAATAAAATTACAACTCTGCAAAATAAAACAAAAAAAATTAGGATCTGGTCGGGTGATGAGGCGGATTAACCCCTTACTCTACTTCGCATCCAATTCCGATTAAACAGGTTCTGATTTTATCGAGGTCAAATTAAATAAAAATCCAATCCAACTAAATCGGATGATACCAAATAACTTACAGATAAGATAAAATTACCTTTCGTAACCAGCTAATTATACATGCTACAACTTGAGTTTTGTTATTCGCACACTCAATTGTTAATTGCACAACAGTTTTTGTATTGTAAAAAACAAAAATACCATTTTATCCTTTAACTTTATTAATCTTTCTAAGGTTTCGTTTGTTGCTGAAAAGTGGATTTTTTTTTTTTTTTTTGAAATGTGAATTCTAACAAAAATAGTTTTTAAGAAAATATTTGGTTGCATTATGAAAAATAAGTTTGGAAACTAGTTTTTAGTGTTCGACTATATCGTAGAAAATAAATTGAACAATAATACATTTTGAGTTATTAATTTTTTTTGAAATAATAGAATTTTTGCTACTATCAAACATTTTTTGATCTTTAGTGAATATTGAAAATAAATCTCTTTTCTATGATATTTTATTTTTAAAATAAAATTTATATTATTATCGAATATAAGATGTTGTGTGTCGTAATGTATTTTTCTAACAATATAATAATGCATTATATGCACTAATATATTAAATTAATGTAATCGTATACGTCATATATTGATATATCCCAATGTTTTATTACTTATATAAATATATTAATAATTAATTTCTTATTTTCTAATAATATTATTTATTTTAAATATTTTGTGAATATATTAATAATTATATATATAAGAATAATGAAGTTGTGTATTACTTTAGTTTTTAGTCTTTTATATCTCAAAAGCGAGCGGATGACAAATGGATGAGGCGTCTTTTAGTTGAATTCCTTTCACTGATATGATTTACAGATTCTTCGCTCATGTGTTATCTGCATGGTTCGCCGTCGTCGTCATTGCCACCGGTATAACCAGCGACATGCAAAATTGTAACTGTTTGATCCTCGCCTTCCTGGCGTGGACATTTTTTATAGCTTTGCTTTTGTCTGCGCCTCCTCCCTTTTCCTTCTAAACTGGGTTAATAAAATAAACGTAGATTTGACAATTTTTTTTAAAAAAAGGTCAAAAAATTGAAGGATAACATGGTATTCACTGCAAAAAATGTTGAGTGGTCAGCAATTAAGAGTCTGTGAATACCAAAACCCCTACACCCCTGATGATCATAACTAAAAAGAAAAAGAAAAGAAAAGAAAACAAACACAGTCTAGCGTAAATAAAATAATAATAATTATTAAAAGAAACTAAAAGAGTTGGGTTTTTGTAACAGGGGTTTTCACTGTTCTTCCACTCGCAAACCAGTTCACAGGCCGTAAATAAAGATGTTTTTGTTTTTTTTCCAACTATTTGTGAATATTTATATTCCAAGTTTACGTAATATTTCATTTTGATCCTCAAAGTTTTAAAATGAAATTTTGATCCTAGGATTTTCCACCCCTAGCATGTTGCATTAGGCTGCTGCATTGGACCTGCAAAAAGCAGAGACACATGATTTCTATAAATCATAACATTAGCTCTTTGCATCTTGACTGTCCTACCGATAGTCATCTGATCAATTTTTAAAAACTCCCTCTACAATATGATCACTAAGCATATTCATCATAAGCCAATCTTAGAGATTAGCACTAAAAAAATCTGGACAGTTGTAGAGCAGAACTTTTGTGCCAAAATAGTGGAACAAAAGATGCCATCCTGCAAGACATGTAATATAGATTCAATAACACATTTACATCTAGTACAAGTTGTATAATTAGCAATAACTATCAAGACCTGTCTCCCATTAGACAATGAGTTCCCCTATATAATAAGCCACATGAAAGTTTTGACTCTTTCAGAACCTTAGCAATGCCAAATGAGCCTTCACTTAGTGTCTATAGGCTGATTTTCTAGCAGAAAGTCCAGCAGATATACCTTTCTAAGCAATTCTATCTAACCCCAAGTTAGGTTGAGGTGGTAGGAATCCAACAATTTTCAAAACCACTACATCGAGATGAAAGTCATAAATTTTTCCTACTACCACTATCTTGATGGAGTGCTCTATTGTCAAAAGAAGCAAACAATCTAAAATGCTTTCAATAAAATCATTTATAAGATGATTTACATCAAAAACCAAGCATCCATCCAAAAACAAATTCGTTTTCCATCACTAACTATCCATCGAATCTCTTAGACACTGAGAATGACACACTATCGCATTACCACCCCAGGCCTTAGAAGTAGTAGGCTTACTAACGGACACAAGAACATTATCAATAATAGACTTATACATGCTATATATGAAGAACTTATACCCATAAAGAAATTTTTTTAGGAGGCAAATCCCACCCAAGTTTCTTCATAAAGGCACAATTAGTCGCTGAGAGATTTCTTAAGCCAAGTCCTCCTTAAGATTTGGGCTAGCAAACAGCCCTTCAATTGACCGAGTGAGTTTTACGATGATCAAAAGATGATACTTACTGTCATAGCTCAATTTTGAGTATTTTATTTTTATCAAAAAAAAAAAAATCAAATTTCAAAAATCCAATATATATCCAAAAAAAATTGTATATATGTTGCTTGTGTTTCTATGATTTTCTGTAATTTTTTGTTGATTTTATAAATTTTTAAGGTTTTAAGATATATTAGTATTTTTCTTTCTGATTTAGAGAAAGCATACAAAAAAATATATAAAAAAAAGAAATTTTTTTTTAAAAAAGATATGGTTAAAAAAATCACATGAAAAAAAATATATATACTAGAAGAAGAAATAAGGATGAAAATTGAAGAGAATTAAAAAGAAGGAGGATCAATAAAGTAGAAAATAAGGGGAAATTGAAAAGGAAGAAGAAGAAAGAGAATTGAAATAATAACAAAAAAAAAAAAAAAAAGAGAAGGAAAGGGAAAAGAAAATAAACAAAAGAAGGTGTATGAACATAATTGGAGCGACTAAAAAGAACGAGGATCAAAGAAAAATAATTTAATCACATATTAAGGGTATAATTAAAAGAAAAAGAAAATATAAAGTATTAGAACAGAAACTTTGGATAAATATGAGAACCAACTTAAACTTTGCTTCAAAACAAAATGACGCCAGGAGAATACTGTTCATCGTCCTCCCTTCTCCAGCGTGCGTTATCTTCTCTTTTTTAGCCTTTGGCACGATCTTCTCCTCCATTATTTGGTTTGATTTCATCCCCTAATACTAGCCTAGACACTTGCCTCTCTTTTCTCTATATCTAGACTATTTTCGGTTGAAACTAGACGAAAAAATAACACTTGAAACTGCCAATCACATCCCAAATACCCTGCCATAAACAGCCCCTCCATGCTTGAAAAACAATCTGAAATGACCAGGGAGGAGGCTGAAAATCACCATGAGATTAACTTCATCAAAGCAGGTAAGTATTCTCCTCCAACTCCTATAAATAGAGCTGAAAAAAAACAACAAAAACACGCAACAAACACAGGAAAAAGGCAGAGAGAAGGAAAACGAGAGATAAATCAGTTTCTGCAGTTTCGAGAGCTATATCTTAGGCAAACTTCTCGTATCAATCCTCCAACTATTTTTGTTACTTTTGGTTTCTATTTGTAGAAGGTATACCCTTTTTTATTTTCATTTTTTCAGTTTATTAAATTCATGCCTCTTTTCTCTTATTTTTTGACATGAAATTCACTACTACAAACTGAAAAAATAACAGTGTTTCTGGGCAATTCTAGGTCGTTCTTCATGTTTTATACAGTTCAGTCCCTGGGTTTGTTAGTTTATTTTATTTTAATAATTTAAAATAGTGAATTTTCAAATTTCATCTAATAAAGGCTAAATCAATGAGAGAGACTAATTAATTCATTTCTCAAAATAAAATGAACTAATTTATAATTTACTCGCCCATTGCCAATTTAGAGAAATTTCACAATAAATAATAATTTTTTTAATGTGCCATAAGATAACCCCAATAATAAATGTAAAGAATTAATGTTTCTGATTATTTTCAAATTCACAAATGGATTCTCGTAACAATAAATTTACAGCTAGGCTTAGAAATATTTAGGAAAGATAATATTTTTTTAGGTGAATGATTAAGGAAAGAACAAATCAGGTAACTTTTGTTTTTTTTTTGTTTTTTTTTTAAGAAATAATAGCGACAGCCACAAAAAAATCCTATTGTGTTGCTCAATCTGCTCAAAAATAGCGGCAGGTAAACGAGCACACTACATTATGTACATTGGAATAGCTTTTAAATGGCCTCAGTAAAGGTCATCCTACCTGCAAGAGACAGGTGTTAAGCATGCCAATTTGGTAAATGATGTTATCCACTAAATGACCATCCAGTATCCTTAGTCACTTAATTATGAAGCAAAAAGGAGAAATTTTATAATATTTAAAAAGTTATTTATAATATATATATATAATAATTATTTTATAAATTCATTTCAAAAAGAAAGATGTATATAAAAAAAAATTAAGAAAAATTAAGAGAGATAAGAGAGAGAAAATTAAAAAAAAAATTGAGTGAAAATCTTCTTATCATTTTCGATGAATTCAATGTAATTTTTTTATTTATCTATCTCCTTCCTTAAAAACTAGTTTTATAAAGTAATTATATACATATTACTGATTATTCATTATATATTATAAAATTTTTCAGAGTAAAAGAACTCTCAAATATCTCTCAAATGGAATTGAGTCTCCTTGCAATAAAACGAGAAATATTTAGGCTATAAAAGGGATGAATTTTCATCACACTAACCTTCTGATTCGAAAAGATACAAAAATATTCTAGAACCTTTAACATAATGTTCATTTGATCCTCTCTTGTTTTATATATATATATATATATATAATAGAATATATAATCAACAAAGAAAAGGTGAGAGATAGGAGGACCAACCTTACAAAGGACCACAGGTTTCGATCCGTCGCCTTTGATTTACCTCCACTCGAATCAATTGATTCAATCTTTCCTTACACATGACAAAGATATATGAAGGAAGAGAATTTCCTTGATGTATACCTCTAGATGGAGAGAAAGAATAAAAAATTTCACCATTGAAACTCATTTGGAGAGAAGCAAGAGATCTACACTTCTTAATTATTGAAATCAGATTATCCGAAAGGTCTATATCCACCATAGCATTAAAAAATTCCCAACCTTGAGCGATCATAAGCCTTTTTTAAGTCAATCTTAATTGTCATGAAACTCTTCTTACCCTTCTTTCTGCTCATGGTATGTTCTCATGAGAAACAATGATATTATCCATGATTTTCCTTCCGAGGACAGAAGTAACCCAGAGTAGGAGTAATCAAATATAGAAGTAAAGGGCGAATGCAATTCATAGTTACTCTAGTAAGCAGCTTATAAGTTACGTTGCAGAGACCAATTGGACGAAACTGACTGATAAATTCAGACTTATCAACTATAGGAATTAACACTATGAAGGCTTTATTTAGATTCGAATCCCATAATTCATTCCGATAAACTTACTAAATAAACTGACAAACAGAAGCTCCAACAGTATCCGATTGCGATTGGTAGAACATGAAGGTCATCAACACTCGGGGTTTTATAAGGATCCATATCGAACAAAACTTTTTGAATCTCAGAATCTGTTACGCTTCAAATTCCTTGCCGACAATCTTGAAAATCAAACCTGCAGAAAAGAACCATTGAGAGACGGAGAGCTCTCGATAAAAAGGTGTTTGTAATACTCAACAGCCATAACTTTCAACTTGTCTTTCTTTGTGCACCAACCGCCCAAAGATTCTCTCAAACCTTCAATCTTTCTCAGCTTCCTCTTGACAATTGTAGTTTCTATCTCTAAAGGACAGTCACTCACTCCTAGATTTTTGGGACCAGTAAACTTTCTTCTGTAAAATAATATTCTCATACTCCTTCCTTAGTTTCTTCTCAAGGTGTACAAGAAAAAGATTATTTGTGGACTCTAATTTCTTCTCAGTCCCATCCAATTTAGCCAATAGATGTTACTTCCTCCTGAACATAGTACCAAAACACTCATTATACCACACCCTGACATCTTGAATAAAATTATCAATGGCTTACAATAAACCGAACTCACTTTCCCATGTCTGTTTTATAAAATCTCCAAAATCATCTCTAGTTAATCAAGCTGCTTGGAATATGAAGAAATCGCTCCTTGAGTGAAAATCTCCTCCAAATAACCTACGGTTATATATATAATATTCTTATCCAAATTACATAATTCTTTCCGTAGAATAGTTCAAATTAATTTAAGGACAAGGATTAGCATATACAATAGTGAATAAGAAAGATTTGCCATCAAACTAAAATTACGATCATTAACATAGAATAAAACATCTAAGCATTAAGATTCTTTACAACCCTTCTATCCATCTCAGAGTAACGGAATCATTAAAAACTATTTTCTCCTCGTTAGAAATAGAAATTGAAGAAGTTACCTGCTTGGTCACTGAGTCGTGTAGTCCCTTTGATAAAGTCACTTGCTTTGTTGAGAGGAAAGAGTTAATTACTACTAAATTTCACAGGCCCAATGGAAATCCTGAGGTTTAGGGCCAACTGACAGTCTCTTTGTTATTTCACCCATCTCTTCTTCGTCACCCCTCAAATTGCCCTCTTCATCAGAATCGGTCTGTAAATATATTAAGGCCACCATCATATTATTATCTTTGTAGCTTTCCACAAGTTTCTCATCCTTCAAGATCGCGAAAGTGTGTTTCTTAATTGCGAGGGATCAAAGCTGGAGAATTCACTCTCCTTTCGTGGTAAAGCTTGAGGCGGCTAGTGTCTTCTGATCTTTGGAAGGCAATAAAGGAGATTCTAAAGTAGTGGGTCTATTTGTAGTCTTCTTAAAAACATTGGGTTCGATTTTTAAAGGGGCTTTGTATTGATCCTTTTGTTCTGCACAACGGGTCTGGCTGGGATAAGTAAAAGCGATTGGTTTTGGCATAGGAACGACAGAGGCGGCAATGACATTGTCATCAATGTTTTGCATGGCAAGAACATCAAACCTTGATCCCTTATTGACTGCAGTATCCTTATATTGAAATTATTTTCCATTTCCATCACCTTTACTGTTTGATTTGTGCCTAAATTTATTCTGAGCATGAATCTAAGCACCAAATTCTTCATCACTGTCTCTGCCGTCTTACTTGGTTAGGTTATCATTGGTTGTCGCCCCACCCAAACCACCATTATCGGTGGTGACCTTCATAGAACTACTGTTGATAAGCTTTTTATAGGGCAAAACAAATTGCTATGATCCACACATCCATTTGTATAACAGACTTGAGGAAACCCTCATAACACTTTCTGCTCAATATGTTCCACGTAAATAGATCTCTTAACCGGCATGTCAAGATCAGTATCCACTTCTAACCTAGCAAACTATAAGGAGTGGCTGAGTAACAGGAGCTTTGACTTCCAACCGTAAGTTTAAGTTTCAAATTTCACTTTTCGCACCTATAAGTTTAAGTTCTAAAAGTGTAGAAGATTTAGAATCCCCGGTTTTAAAATCAATTCGTAGTCATCAAAGATTGTTACAGAATAGTCAGTTGCCGCGTTATCAAAAAACTGCTAGCTAGCTTTCCTCTAAGATTAGTTTATAATTTATAATTTACTTCAATTCTACTTTTCGAAGCTCTGAACTTATGATACTATGGTTGCACTATGAGGTGATGTCCCATAATGGCACGAGGACCGCCAGCTAAAGCACTAAGATAGTCACTCTTTCTCAAAAATAACACCAGAAAAAATTCATTCTCCACATATATTAATAACCTAAAAAGGATCCGATGCATCCCATATCGTTTTCAATGTCGTGCATAAGGCATTGTATCCCACACTATGACCTAAGAATTTGACAATCAAAGAGAGTTTTCAGAATTGTCAAAGTCTCTCCTTGAAAGGTTCAGATATCTCATTAGCGAAACCTTTCTCTTTTACCACTGCTATAATATCTCCATCTTCAACCTCAATATCTTTTGACAATCTACCAATCAACTTGTGGAATATCTTCCATATGGTCTCCTTTGACTACTAAACTGTAGCTGCACTTTCGATCATCAATAGCAGCATCTATTGGTACATTCAAAGCAGAATCTTTGTCTCTCACTTTCACTTTTTTCATGCCGTGATCTTTCTTATGTGGGTTAGGGTTGAAATTAGGATTTTTGTCGTTAGTCAACATAAATTGGCTCTAAAGTTTTTTTTTTAAATGATCAAGTTTAACTTATTTTGTAATTGTCTCGAAAATTAATATTTAAAGACTTACATTTATTTTTAAGGCTTTATGTCCATATTTCCATCCAAATTGTACTATTTTTTTTTCCAGAAACGACATTGTTTTGTGGAGAACATAACATTCTTTGTCAAGTAATTCTAACAAAAGTCTTTAATTGAGAAATCAAAATAGGTTAGTGATAAAATTAATACAAAAAATAATTTAACTACAAGATTAATAATACTCTAATAGTTTGATGATATATTTGACATTTTCCTTATTTTTAATCACTATTTAAAAAATATAGCCTTTGATGCCTTCAATCCAATTGAAAAAAGTACCAAATAGATAAAAAAAATTGTATAAATTTTGACTAATCTAGTTTAGATCATATGTTTGGACTTACACTACAACAAAAATGAGTTTTAGCGATGGATATTTAGCGACGGTCAACAAATCGTCGCTAAATACCTGGATTAGCAACAATTTTTCACACTTTAGCAACGGTCTAAAAAATGGTTACAAAAATTAAATTTTGCGACGGTTTTTAGCAACGGTCCACCAATCCGTTGCTAATTTTATAGGCTAACCATTTTAGCAATGGTCTAACTCGTTGCTAAACCGTTGGTAAATTTAGCAACGGTCTAAACCGTTGCTAACACCGTTGGTAAATGTTATTTAATATTTTTTCAACGGTTTTATTAAAAAAAAACCCTAAATAAAAAATAAATTTAGCAACGGTCACACACCGTCGCTATTTCGTTACCAAAAAGAAAATTAGCAACTTGTTTGGCGTTATTAAATCGTTGCCAAAATATTCGTTTTAGCGACGGCCCAAGACCGTCACTAAAACGTCGCCAAATCAACCTAGAAACGGTTAGCGATGGTCTAGGACCGTCGCTAACCCGTTGGTCATTTAATTTTATTGGTTTAACCGTTGCAAACGTTAATTTAGCGATGGTCTAAATCATCGTTAAAAGTAAGCCGTTGGTGGGAAACGATCAAATTTAATTTCGAATTTACGTTTAGCGACGGTTTAGCAACGGTTTGTGACCGTCGCTAAAAACTTTATCCTTCTATAAATAGCGATCGATCGGAATCTGCCATTTTTTATTTTCTTCTCCTCTCTTCTTCTCCTCCGTAGACGACATCTCTCGCCTTTTTCGTCTCCAATCCTTTGATCTCTCTCCTCAAAGCTATTGTTTCCTTAAAATCTCCATACTTCTTCCCTCTTTTCCTCCTCCTTTCAAGTTTTCTCTCTTCCGTTGAAGTTGTCGTTTTTCGACGACCATATTCCGGTGAGGCTTTTTTTCGACGGTTTCTCCGCTCCTTCTCTTGGTGACGGGTCCACCTAAATCTAAACCATCCTTTCAATTATTAATTTTTTCAGTTATTTATTTATGTCAAATAATTAGATTTTATTTTAATTTTGAATTACTTATTATTGCTAGTTTAATTATTGAATTGTTTATTGCATGTGTTTTTTTAATTTGATTATTTAATTAAAATTTATTTTGTGTGTTATTTTAGTGTAAATTGTGAGAGTTAATTGAAATGTTTAATTGTTAATTGTTATGTTAATGTTGTTGTTAATTATTTATTAATTGAATATTATTGTTAACTTTTTAATTTTGTGTTATTTTTTTTAAATTGTTGATTGAATTAATTTGATTGTTAATTGTTAATTTACTTACTTTAATTTATTGTTAAATTTTTTTGTTAGAAAATATAATTGTTATATTTTATTTTATGTTGTTATTTAAATTGTTATTGTTATTAGTGTAGCTAATTGTTAATTTACTTAAGTAATTCACAATTTATTGAAAACATTATTAATTTCAGTAATTCCTAGTTCATTAAGTTAAAGCGTTAGGTTAGTACAAAATAAATCAAAATAATTTTCTAAAATTATTTTTAAATAAATAAAAAATAAAGTTATTAGAAATATTTGTAATTATAATTAGGAATTAAATAAATAATTAAGTTTGTATTTATAAAATTTTTTGAAATAAATTTAAAATAGATAAAAAATAAAGTTATTAGAAATATTTGTAATTGTTAGGAATTAAAAAAATAATTAATTTGTATTAAAAACATTTTTTGAAATAAATTTTAAATAGATAAAAAATAAAGTTATTAGAAAAATTTGTAATTGTTAGGAATTAAATAAATAATTAATTTGTATTAAAAAAATTTCTTAAAAAAATTTCAAATAGATAAAAAATAAAATTATTAGAAAAATTTGTAATTGTTAGTAATTAAATAAATAATTAAGTTGTATTTAAAAAATTTTCTGAAATAAATTTTAAATAGATAAAAAATAAAATTATAGGAAATATTTGTAATTGTTAGTAATTAAATAAATAATTAAGTTGTATTTAAAAATTTTTCTTAAAAAAATTTTAAATAGATAAAAAACAAAATTATAAGAAATATTTATAATTGTTAGTAATTAAATAAATAATTAAGTTGTATTTAAAAATTTTTCTTAAAAAAATTTTAAATAGATAAAAAATAAAATTATAGGAAATATTTGTAATTGTTAGTAATTAAATAAATAATTAAGTCGTATTTAACATTTTTTTCTAAACTTAGGTTGTTTATATATTTAGAAAATAACTTGTGTGTAACAAAAAAAAGATTTTAGATTTAGTAATAAAAGTAATTTAAGTAATTGCATAAACAATTAATACAATTACTTTATAACTATTTTGTTTAAAATAAATTTGGATCGCTCTTAGATTGACTTTAGATTAACTGGTGGATTATTAAATGAGCGTTTTGTAGAAGGGTTAATGAATTTATTAACTTTGCGGTTAGTCATCCACGAGTGCATTGATGGAAATAAGATACGATGTCCATGTGAACAAAAAAATATCAAAATCGTAGTTATGAAAACCACGATATCGTTAAGTATCATTTGCTTAGATATGGGTTTGTGTACGGGTATTATGTGTGGAGACGTCATGGAGAGAATGATTTAGCAATTAATGCCAATTCATTTAATAATGTTGAACAAGAACAAATATATGATGATCGTCGAGTTAATCGATACCACACGATGGTAATGGATGCGAGTGGTCCATCTTTTAATCCGTCTAATACGGACGAAGACCCAAACCCATACGCACGAAGCATTTTATGATTTATTAAATGCATCGAATAGAGAAATATGGATCAGGTCGGAAAACCATTCGCGAGTTATACGCAATGTCTCGTTTGTTGCATTTCAAGTACGAGCATCATTTTTCGGAGAGGTGTTACGACGATTTATGTCAACTTATGAAAGAGTTGATGCCTCCCGATAGCTTGTATGCCGGAAGACTTTTATAGTACAAAAAAATGATAGAAATGATGGGTTTGCCCGTTGAAAAGATCCATTTGTTGCATTAATGGTTGCATGATTTATTAGGGTCGGGACGGCTAGAGAATCTCTTGTAAAATATGTGATCATCCTCGATATCAAAATCCTACGCGGGGTTCGATTTGACAAACATTTGTCCCCTACAAAAAAAATGTATTATTTTTCGATAACTCCACGATTACAAAGGATGTATGCATCAAATGCCACCGCTAATGATATGACATGGCATGCGTAACATGTGTGTGAGCTCAACGTCATGCGTCATTGTTCGGACTCTTTCGTATGGCAACATTTTGACCAAACACATCTTTCTTTTGCATCGGAAATTAGGAATGTTAGATTAGGTGTTTGCATCGATGGGTTTCAACTTGTTTGGTAAGTACTGGACAACAATATTCTTCGTGGCTCGTCATTGTAACGCCATACAATTTGTCACCATGGAAATGTATGAAAGAAGAATATATGTTCTTAAGCATGTGATTGTCCACGGTTCTAAGAACCCTAAAATCAATTTAGACGTATACTTACAACCCTTAATTAAAGAGTTGATAGAATTATGGAAAGTAGGTGCTCTTACTTATGATGTGTCACGTAAAGATAATTTTCAAATGAGAGCTACTTGTCATATGGACAATTAGTGACTTTCCTGCATATTCAATGTTATCCGGTTGGAGTACTACGGGTAAGACGGGATGTCCGTATTGTATGAAAAATTCGATGCTTTCACCCTTCGAAACGGGAGGAAAACTTCATGGTTTGATTGTCATCGAAAGTTTCTATCACAACGCTATCCGTTTAGGCGAAATAGGACTTGCGTTAAATCGAAATTCGGTTATTACGAGACATTGCTCCATCGATAAAGTCTGAAATTGAAATTTTACAAGAATTAAACAATTGGGGGTTGCTTGAAAGTAACGGAAGAGGGATCCGATGAGTATAATAATAATATATCTAAATATTATGGTTGGAAAAAGCGTAGTATATTTTGGGACCTACCTTATTGGAGTTCTAATCTAATACGTCATAATTTGGATGTCATGCACATTGAAAAAAATATCTTCGACAATGTGTTTAATACAATTATGAATGTCCCGGGAAAAACAAAAGACAATGCAAATTCAAGAGAAGACTTAAAGCTATATTGTCGACGGCCCGAATTAGAAATAGATGAAAACTCTAGAAAATACCCAAAACCCTGTTATACTCTAGACAAACAACAAAAAATATAATTACTTGAATGGATTAAACAACTAAAGTTTCAAGACGGATACATCTCAAACTTGGCAAGGTGTGTGGATATGAATAACCTCGGATTACGTGACATGAAAATTCATGATTGTCATGTATTTATGCAAAGGCTAATACCTATTGCATTTCGTGATATGTTACCAACAAATGTATGACAATCACTCATCGAGCTTAGCTTATTCTTTAAGGAAATAACATCTACTTGTGATTAAGGTTGAAGATATGATCCGTCTTGAGGAAAATATACCAATAATCTTGTGCAAATTAGAGCGTATTTTCCCATCAAGTTTTTTCG